GGTTTCTGACTCTCATCGACTTTCCTGAATCTATCCTTTCCTGACCCTGCTGCATCACGCCACCATTGGCCGGATCGCAGGAGCCCAGTCCGTCGCCAGACAAAGTGCCCGCGTGCTGCCCCCGGCTCCAATGTTGATGAGCGCATGAAACAAGGCCGTTGGTATCAGCCGCAGAAAAGTTTCGAAGCCTGTGCTTGGACTATACCCCATATGCTGCCTGGGTTCCGCGGGTTGTATGTTATGCATGTCCTTGCAGGCACAAAGCCTTCATGACAAAACCAGTGTTCAAGTTGCGTCGCGCTGTGATGTGTTGGGGTGGCTACTATTTATGTAACTTACAATCCGAAAATAACTTAAATCGTGTGTGGCATTGTTGATGTTGGAGGCAGGGCGGTGGAGTTAGGCAATGCCACGGAAGGAGTCACAGAGGCAAGGGTGCCAGATTTGTGCCGAGGCCAAAAGACGAGTCTCCACCGGACTGGTTTTCCTTGGACTCTTTGGCCGCTTCAAGGTACGTAGACGAGGCTGGACTCCCTTGGATTCAAGACGAAGCCGACCAACAGAGCACTTTGTGTCTCAATGTCTTCTGAGGAACATGAACCTGTCATGATTGCCGGCCAGGGCGACGCCGAGAAACCGGTGATGGAAGCTTATGCTAACTTCCCAGAGGCCTTTGAAGACGCACATTCCTTGCATATGAGTTCGTGGTGGCGCGTGTAGAAGAAGGACTAAGTCACAGTCAGGTACTAGTATAGAAGAGTGAGGCCAGTGGTCAGTGCAGAAAGTCGTTGCCCTGTGGGCTATGCATGTAGGCAAAACTATAGATGCGACGTTTGAGAAGGTCGCGACCCCGACCAGCCTGCAGGCATTATCAGGACCGTGCCAGACCAGTTCTTGTGAAGCTTTGCTTTCATTGCAGGCATTATCAGGACCGTGCCAGACCAGTTCTTGTGAAGCTTTGCTTTCATTTGGGCCGCCAGGATCTGCGACCATACCCACCGACTTACGCAGACGCGTGTCGGAGGAGGCGGATGGCCTATGGACCATGTACTCTAAAGATTGAGGTTGTTCCTCAGCTGAGATGTTCGTTCTTGACCGACTGCCAAGACAACCACAACCAGCCGTAGTTTCCTCCAGCTTGAGCCTAATGCTTGCTCACACATTACGATGCGGGAGGCCACCGTTCCTGCGACCCTCAGAAAACAAAGCTGACCTTCTGCACAGAGGTCGAAAACCTCCTCGCGAAAGCCAACTTGGACTTCATGCACGCAGCATCCTTGGATTCTGGGCACACAGAAGACTGTTGCCAAAGTATCTTTCACTGCTATGCATCCTGGCAATCTTGGGTGGATAGGTTCAGGGGCATATGAGCAGTTTTCCTTGGCTTGGCTCAAGCCTCAAGACACAGCAACGCGGCGCACGGAGAGAAGGTGCAAGCTAAGAACACTTCACAATGGAGTGTAGTGAGGCGCCGGCGTAAGAAGCTCTGGAAAATCACCATCAGTCAATGTGCGTATTGCCGTGTCTGGATAAGGTGAAACAGTTGAGCTCACTCAGCCGAAAAACCACATCCGCCGTCCATTGGTTGACCTCATGCAGAACGAGGCAGCCGAACTGATATTGACTGGTGTGGATCACCTCTCGCGGGCTCTTGAGCTCGGCGCAATTGAAGCAGCAAAGTGCCGGGAATGCACGAGAATGCCGATGGCGTGAGTGGTGGTTGACGAAACTGCCACCTGATTGCATACTCTGTGTGGTGGTGCGGAATCCAAAGCCATGCCAGAAACGACAGGGGTGCTGCCTGGCTGCTACCTACCCCACCGCAACTCGACAAGCGTTGACGGAGTTCGCAGCGTCCGTAAGTCTCGGTGCAGTTTTGGCCAACTGACAGGCAGGCTTTTCTCGGATCGTTCCGGAAGATGCACCTGATTTTAGTCCCTGTGTGCCCAAGAGCAACTGGATGCGCACACACGGCTGTCCGAGGAGCCGTAAGTTCGGGGCGATCTTTTTCATAGCTTGCGTGTCGACCACCGTGCATGTGTGTAACTTTGTTGGTGAGGTAAGCGGAAGCTTCGCTAAACAAAAATGCCAAAGTAAGGCTCCCCCAGCAGGGTGCTACAGACTCTAGACTTCCGAGCCCCACTTGAACAGTCCCGTCGATGTATCTCGTGTCCACAAGACAGCGCTTGGCCAAAAGCGCAGGCCTTGGGATTCTCCAATACTCTCCATGGCAATGTACTGCTGTTCTATCCATTCTGCTCGAGGGTTGGAGGTTCCTAGCGTCGAACTACACACTGTCGAGTCTTCGGTGCTTTCAGGCTGTTTGCCCATGGCCCATAGACTTTTCCGAGACCATCTGGCTCACTAAGGGCCACGTGGCTTCAGGTAGGGTTTTCGGATGCCCAGCGCCGGGTGAACATAGCTTCCATGCAGGGCTGCTGAGACAGATGGTCACAAATTCACGCAGATGTCGCTCAGGGGGACGTGGACACGAACGGCTTGGTGGAGGCCGGCAGCAGATTCGTGGGTGGACGGCTTGAACGCAGTATGCACCTGGAGCCTGACATATGCTATTAAAACGACTGCATCAGGGGCCAACATCGGAGAGTCCACTGGGAGAGTCTGTACGGTAGCGCATGTGAGTCTGCATACAAGGCATCGGTGGCATTGCCTGAAATAACAGCTCCAGCTCCTTTGTCCGAACTACCAAGTTTGAGTCCAAGACGCCGATTGCATATCCTGTGCACCTCCTCCGTTGTTGTAGGATTGCTGCTTGGCGCTGCTCCATGCACATGATGATGGCACTGAGATCTCACACGATCGCCTCTCTGCAGAGGCTGCGTGTTTATTGAGGATTCAAGGTTTTAAGGGGCTACTCGCGGCTACTCACACAGAACGTCGAGACGAGAGAACGGTTGTAAATCGCACGAGAATCTTGCACACGCCCAGACGCCAGGTTGTGCGGACCATTCTTCAAGGCTGGCTCCTCATGAGTCAAGACTTCACACGGCGGCAAGCTGTCCCAGCATCTTCGCGAGAGCACACAGTCAGGAATCCGTCTGGCTTGTTGCCAGGCTGGGACCAATTCCGCAAGCGGGGCTTGGAGACCGAGCCGCAAACTGCTCGGTTCTGAGCATCTCCTGGTCGCCTCAGCAAGAAAAGTCTTTTTCAGTCGCTTTGGCTACCAGCATGCACCGCAAACGATATACATATGGAGAGCCATGACTTGCGACGGAAACAGGGTTCGGCAGAAGCGCAATGGCCGCGGAAGGAAGAGCGTGCACAGGCGGATCCGCAAAGTATGGATCCGGCAAGTGGACAGGCAACAGGGACAAGGTGTCTTGATTGAATGTTTCCAACAGAGATGACATGTAAGTCAGCGATGCACCCCCTGCTGGGCTGGGAACCAACAGATGCTCCTGTGCGCTGAAGCTGAAGCGGAGAGCTGGTTGGGTGTTGATGCTCATGGTGCTGGAACTACTCGGCTCCGATGTGAAGGGCGTGCTCTTGATACCTGTACTGGCTTTGAATTCTCTACATGGCTTCAAGAAGCTAGCAGTGATGCTCTTGAGGTCCGAAATGACGGTTCGGAAGAGTTTGGCAGGGTTGCATGTGGGAGCTGGCAGAAGACGCGCAGACTGCACATCATTATCGATATTTGTGCAATGTGCCGTTTTGGGGGGGGCCCCGCCGTCATGGTATGCCACCGTGCGGCGGGCCTGAACCCTATTGCCCAGGGCCTGGCAGGGACACTCCGAAGCTCCAGAGGCCCAAAGGCCCCCCAAGAATTGCGGAAAGGCGCGTGAACTCCACACTCCGAGCCGAAGGCCCAAGCTGTTCTCCAGCCTTTGGGGGGGGAGACGGGGCCGTATATCTGCCGTATCTACTTCACGCGCCCCTCCCGGAGCGCGGAGCCCCAGGTCAGCCAGCGCAGTCGCTTCCGAGCCTACATCGACGCCCACGAGGCCGAGCCGTCGTTCGCACTCATGAAGGCATCCATGGGAGTTTCCGAAAATAGGGGGGTCCTTATATGGCGCCCCAAAATAGTGGGATCGTTGTTATCAAGACCCCAGAGTAAGGTAACCCTAATTTTCGGAAACTCACCTATGAGTTTGGGTTTCTTGAAGCCATGGTTCCGAGGCCATGCCACGAGAACCAGACCTAGAGGACCACATGCATCCGTCCTCCGTGGCCGTGGCAAGTTGCAGTTTTGCAGTTTGTTTAAATTTAAATCCGGCCGCCGTTTCGCTTCCTGGACCTTGCCAGGTCTGCCTCCACGACTCCAACTCCTGCCTGGTGCTGTCATGCCGGAACTCAATGGCCTGTGACCCTTGCCAAGTCTCCTAAAATCCTAAAAGCTCGAGGGCTGTTGCGCCGGTCTGGCAAAGTCAGACAACGCGACGTTTGCCTCCAAAACGTTCTGTTGGTCCCATGCCTTGCAGCTTCGAGCAGGTGTGTTTCACGCTTTTGAGCGGTTTTGGTCAGGACATCGACTTAATGCAGTCCAAGGCCACGTGTAGGAGAACGAAAGCTTATTGAGTTGACTGGTACGATAGCTACGTGAAACACGAGGTGGACCATTTTTCAATGAGGTTGGAGCTGCATGTGCGACGAAATAAGATCAAAGGAGCCGGGTGCTACGACAGAGGATAAGCAGTCTTCCTGCAGGATCAGTAGCCTCAGTAGCTCTGGTTGCGGAGCAAAACTCACAGGCAGGGATTCAGATTGAGGTCATCCCTTGAAGAAGTTCCTGACGCGACCAGGCCTTCCACCGCCGGGGGCCAAAGGAGCTTCTTTTGCCAGTTGCCAGCTGTAGGGCCACTAAAATGGCTTCAGCCTCCGAGGCCAAGCACTCAGAGCCTTCTGGCGTGGACCGAGGCCTGTGGGCGATACTGGTAGGAGGCGATAGGAGGCATGTCGGGGAACTGGGGCGAGGAAGTAAGAACTCACGCTGTGTTTGGTTAGTTACAGTTCGCTGAAGGAAGCGGCCTTCTGACGCCATGGTTGGGGCAGGCAGCACCGCCGGATCCGTATCGATCTGTGCTACCCAGCTTTATCGTCATGCAGCGGCGGACTGTCACAGGGTATGGCAAAGAGCGCTTCAACTTCTCGCTCCCGGTGCAGATGAGAAGCTGTTCTTCGATGTTATCTGTGTTTTGGGGAATGCCTGGCAGTGGCCGCTTGCAGTGGAAGTCTTGGACCACATGGCCAGGACCAGTGTGCAGGCCACAGTCTTCTGTTTCACGGCGGCCGTAAGTGCGTGCGAGAAGGCTACTCGGTGGCAGACGGCCGTCCAACTGCAAAGTGACATGGGACGTGCGAGAGTTCGACCTAACATCGTGACTGTCAATGCCCTCATCAGCGCATGCGGGAAAGCCAGCGAGTGGCAGCTTGCAATGCATTTCACGTTCAGCGTGCAGAGGGCCGAGAGACTTAGGGCGGATCAGGTCACATACTGTGCAGCCATCACAGCATGTGAGAAGGGGCTCCGCTGGCCACAGGCCCTTCACATTTTTGCTTCAATGCCCGGCGCTAGATTGGTGCAAGACGTGGTTGGTTTTAGTGCCACCATCAGTGCATGTGAGAAGGGCGGGCAATGGGAGAGGGCCCTGGGACTGCTGGCACAGATGCCAACGGCAAGGGTCGTGCAGGATGCCGTTTGCATCAGTGCCGTCATCAGCGCCTTTGAGAAAGGCACGCAGTGGCCCCTGGCACTCCACCTTTTGGCAGCGCCAGCATTCAGATTCGTCCCGAACGAAGTCAGCTTCAGTGCTGCCATCAGTGCTTGCGGCAAAGGAGAACAATGGCAAAGAGCCTTGCAGCTTCTGGCCGATATGCCGACGGTACGTGCTAAGCCCAACCAGGCTGCTCAGCTTCGTTGCCTCACATTCTTTTGGCAGAAGGGTTCGGTTCGGGTGGATTTCGAGATGTGGGCCCACGGTCGTAAAGCATTCCCGCAAGCCGTTGCATAAACCTTTCGCCAGTTACGTGCTGGGGATTTGTACAGAGCTGATGTGTTCAGCATACCTCGGTCCGGACATAGCCCACCTAAGAAAACAGCAGACTCGTACAAGTTTGTGCAAAGGATGTATGTCGCTGATGAGCTTCAATTGCACGTGCCGAGCCCGTGCTGGAGCAGCCAATGTTGCAGCGGATCACATCCGCATGCTCTTACCGAGCAAGTGCAGCCACAGTTCCCCACCCACATGCACGCACAATGCGCTCATCACATCTAATCTTATCTCTTTCTCTGCCTCTCTCTCTGTCTCCCTCTCTCCATGTGTGTTGTATTCATGTCACATTTTACCGACCTTCTATGATAGGACGCTGCACCATTTTGCATTACATTCCTTTATTATGGTATGAGTCCATACATATATGGACACGGGAGCCAAAAATACGTGGATACATACCTACCTGCCGTATTACATACCTACCTACCTACCTATCCACCGACCTGCCTCCCTCCTTCCTCCCAAACACGCCCGTGAGGATGAGGGATATGTAATGTGCTCTTGTCAATGCTGGAATTCCTGCAACGCGATAGGGAAACACAAGCCGATATTGAATAGTGGAGTTGGACTGTCGGAATCCGTGCCTGCATTTTGCAGTCGAAACCAATTTTCCGCTGAAAATGAAAACTTACGGCTCATCACCTCCACAACCACTACGACGTTTGCAGCAACAGCAACAACAACAACTGCTTCTGCCGTCGCTGCAAATGCAGCTGCTCCTGCTGCTTCTGTTTCTACGACTGCCACCGCTGCGCTACCACTACAACAGGACGACTACCACTACCACCTCCACGACCCCGACCATGAATCTGCTGCCACTGGTGCTACTACAAGTTTGTATCTTGCTTGTCGGATCTCCAAAGGCGCGGCAACACTGCATGACAAGACTGAAGTGCAAACTGTTACTTACGACATGGAGACGTACCTTGAGATGACAGTCGAGAAGTACTGTGACGTCAGTTGGTTCGGTGCAACCAAATTCAAGACGGTGCCATCGCCAAGCTGTGCCGAGGAGACCAAGCATCACCCGGCCAAAGCTCCGGCACAATCAGGTAAAAGTCATCGATGCACGTGGTGTGGACACACCATGCCTGTTGACGCGGATGGTCGGCTTATACCGCCTCCACCTATTTCCAATGCGCCAGAGGAAGAGGAAGTCAGCGAGGCTAATCGTGGTAGTTTGGCGCCGCAGGCCGCGAGTATACTCATGAAGTTGCTCTACGCCGCGCGCATCTGCCGTTTTGATCTTTTGCGCAGCAGCAACAACTTGGCTCGCAAGATCACCAAGTGGACCAAGAAAGGGGATGCGCTTTTGCACCACTTTATGGCCTATGTGCATCAGTCCAAGCATCACATGATGATTGGATTCACTACTACTGCCGGCACTACTGCGACAAAAGGCAAAAACCACCGCTAGTGCGACTACTACGACTGTTCCCACTGCTACTTGTGCTGCTGCTATGAATACACGCAACCACTGCTACACTACTACTACTACTACTACTACTACTACTACTACTACTACTACCACGCCGGCCACCGCAGCCACTCCTGCCACCAATACCACTACCATGGCCACCTTTGGTACTATTGGTGTGCTAGCAAGTGCTCTGATCTGGAGTCGTCGCAGCAGCAGTGTGGAAGTGGCAGCAGCAGGGCCAGTAGCAGTAGCAGCAGCGGCAGCAGCAGGAGCAGGAGTAGCAGTGGTAGTGGCAGCGGTACCTCCAGCACTACCCCGAGTAGTAGTATTAGTAGTAGTAGTAGTAGTAGTAGCAGTAGTAGCAGTAGTAGCAGTAGTAGCAGTAGTAGCAGTAGTAGTAGCAGTAGTAGTAGTAGTAGTGGTAGTAGTAGTAGTAGTAGTAGTAGTACTAGTAGTAGTAGTAGTAGTAGTAGTAGTAGTAGTAGTAGTAGTAGTAGTATTAGTAGTAGTAGATGATATGCAAGTAGTAACATAGGCCGTACTGGTAGTGGTAGTGGTGTGGTACTAGTAAGTAGAGCGTGGATCGGTACCGGTATGTGGTCTCTCATTTGGGAAAAGTTATTTCGTGTAGCTGCGCGAATCTGAGGTCACACTAAGCGCTGCCGTAAGAGCCTGCGGAGAACACTGGTGGATTGCACTTCAACTAGCACTGGGACAAGAGACGAAGGCACTTTGCAACGAGGTCGTCCGGCATGCTGCCATCAGTGCATGCGAAAGAGCCGGGCAGTGGAAAGCGGCTTTGCACCTGCTTTCAAGCTCGTGCTTGGTCCAGGCTGCTCGAGAGGAGATCATGTACACTTCGACAATCGGTGCATGTGCCAGAAGCTTGCAGTGGCAGAGGGCCATTCAGCTTTTGTCAGGCATGCGTGCAGAAGTGGTGGAGCCAACGGAAATCAGCTACAGTGCTGTCATGAGCGCATGCCATGAAGCAGGTAAGTTTAAGCCTGCACTTAGCTACATGTCAGAAGAGACCTGTGTGCGGACGTTGCGTGGGATCCATTTTGCGCAAGTGAATTCTGGGCCTCGGCATAGTGCCAGGAATTGCTGGGGCACGGGCAAAGTGCGTTTCAGCTGCCACAAAGACAAAGCATGGCTGGTGTGCAGACACAGGACGAGTACTCAGTCTTCCTGAGTACGGTCAACCCGACCCGGACCCCATTCTTCCTCCGAATGATGTTGAAAATGTTGCGCAGCCAGCCCTGAGGCTCAGATGTGTGTGGCAGGCCCATATGGACCTGATTGTCTCGCCCTTATGGATGGTCTTTTCTCTGCCACAAGCCGGATTTCGCGCCCCTGGTCAACGACAAGTTTGCAATCCGCACTTCGGTCGTCAGTCTGCCTCTAGCTGTACATGTCCAAAGGAAGCAGTGTCAACCGTGGGTCGGACAACTGCACGAGCAGCTGCAGTGTTTGGTTTCAGAAGGGTGGGAAGGCAAACTTTGGCGGAGCTGCTCGCAAAGGTGTGACAATGTGTGGTTTATGCGATCCATGCTGCATCGCAATTCTTTCCATCTGCATCGACGCAGAAGTTGCGTGGCAATCCCTGTGCAGAACTCAAGGTAACACATGCAACTACAGCAGGTGAACCTTGGATGAAGCGCCCCTGAGAACTAGACCACCGCGACGACAGCATCGGATTTGCTTGTTCTGGGCGTAGATGCAAGGCTTTGCAACATCGCCTTTGCAGTCTGAGTATTTGCTCTTGCTGCATCTTGGGATGTACGGCGAGACCGGATGCTAGTGTTTTGTCATGTCTTGTCCACCGAAGCCGGCAGGCGCTGGAGTAGGCCTCGACATGCGCGCAGAGCAGGCGACCGAGGCCCTATCAGATGGGGATTTCTATGTTTGGGCGTGATTGAGGTAGTTCGTTCAATGCAATTCTGGCGCGGGGTAAGCTCCAGCTGTTGCACGCTGCCGCCAGCAGACCATTCGAAGCTGTGCATCTTGATGTGGATCTTTCTGGTGCGAACCTAGGGTTTACAAGCTTTCTTGAGTCCATCTCAGGCTTGACTTTGGGAGCTGCTAGCACGCCTGGACCAAGCATCGAAGACTATGCCTACAACATAATCCTGAATCCTGTCTAGAAACTCACGACATCCACAAGGGCATATTTTTCAAAGGCCTCAAGAGCCGAGCCAACTTTGCACTCGTGAGGCGAGCCAGTTGAGAAGCCCCGGCCCGAAGTCCAAGCCTTTGGGTGCGAAGCAGAATCTTTGATAGAAATTACGAATCACCACTATCTTCTGCAAGAAGCAGATTCTCGAAGGCACGCCAGTTGGTGCATGGTGGAAGTGCTCGTATCACAGGGCATATGGGTGCTTGCAAGTCGACAGTTAGACTTACGAGTTCGCACAGTAGCCTGCTGCTTCTCAGCACCTTTCCAAAGAAAGAGAGAGCGGTTGCAACCCTGCTCGAATTGTCAGATTCACAACCTCGCCACCTTCCTGCCAGCAGACTGGGCAGATTAGCAATCCTCTGTGCAGCAACGCTCTGCAAGAGTGACGTGGTGACGTTCAGTGGACCGCGTGAGACGGCAAAACAGCTTGCGCGCTTGCTTGCTTTGAAGGGCCAGACCACGCAAGCAGGCGCCATCGACATTGTCTCGTGAATGTGTCATGTTCAACCCAGGGTGCTTTCGTTGCTATCAGGCGCCTTCGTGTTTACATGAAACGGTTGCAGCAGCACTTAGCCAGTTAGTCACTGAAGCTGTGCCTGAGCGGAGCTCTGGCATGCCAAGATCTTGCACGCGGCAACGTGTCCAGGTGTCTTGCGCGAAGCCGGCATGTGACCCCTGACTAGTGCGGAGATGTGGCTGCATATGGGACCGATTCTTGATGACTCTTGGTGGAGCTTGCCACCGTCGCCGATGCCGTCGATTGGAGTTCCCACGGGCACGAACATGGCCGCATGCTACGCCAGGACCGAGTCTCGATGACTGTGCGTGGAGCTTGTCAACTTACTGCTCTCTCGTCGTGGAGAAGGTCAGTGAGTTGAGCAACAAGAACACTGAACACGCTGTTGAACGAGTGCAGCAAGCTTCGCACTACGAGATGCGTCCGGCCTCGTGCGATCAGAAACAAAGGGATATCAGCCGCTGTCCGACGCACATCCTCCCACGCTGATACCTTCGATACCGACGTCCTCGGAAACGACGCAGAGCAGATAGAGTACTATGACTGTCAATGGTAGTGTATGCGGCTGGCGAAAGTGAGAGATACGCATTTTGCAGAAAGTGATGCCTCCGAGATTGTTTGTCCAAACCTCCGAGATCTGCTTCGGCACTGTGCCGACGAGGATGCATCCTTAACTTGAGGAAGCCTGCGCACCATATAACTTGTTCGTAACTATGAGCAAGGGCTTCCCGCTTGTGGAGCAAATGATTGCAGATGCTATGTTGACGCGGACGGGGCACGTGCTGTCGGAGCCCACCGGAATCAGCCAAGCGACGTTTATGCCGGTAATGCAGTGCACAGGCCACCTGGACAACGTTGTGCGTACGTTGGCGAAGCCTGAGTGTCAAAAGTGGGTCTCCCTGCTAGTCAAAGCCATTGAGAGCCTGCGGGGTCATGAATCACACCAAGAGACGTTGATGTTGATTGCTGACTTCAAGCTCCTTTGGCGAGCTGATGACAATCCGAGTCGGACCTACGCAGAAGCGGAGCAGCGGCTGAAGGCTTTGTGTCGATGGGCCAACGGAAACGTTGGGCGGGCTCTCCGGGGCCTGCTATGCTGTTGAAGCTTGTCCGAAACCAACGTGCGAACAACAAAAGAGGGTTGAAAGTAGTGACATTATTTTGAGACAGTCCTTCACTGTCGAGAGGGGTACTGCCCTTCTCGACCGCTCAGTAGCGGATGATGGTGACTTATTATTGACTGTTTAGACAAATTTTCCTTTACACTTTCGCGGTTTGATATCGTTGGTTCTTCCTTGTTGATGCAGTTGCTACTTGACTGTTCGTCGCTAGCTACTGTGCAACAATAGCAAGCTCAGAGGATCCGAAGCCATGCCAGCCGCGAGCGAGTGTGTGAGTCGAAATGGTTGCCAGCATTAGATTGTGGAAAGGCGTTGCGGTGCCACCCTAGAATGAACTGCAGCTCTGTGGCTCAAGCTGCACGACGTTAGTCTTGGCTCCGACAAGACGCAACACCTCGCTTGACATGTCCCTCCCGCCCACATGGAGGGCTGGCAGCTCCTTGGTTTGCACTGTTTGCGGAAGTGTTGCTTTGCTCAGTGCGGGCATGCACCCTTTGGAGACAGGTTGGCCGCCACAGCAGATGCCCACGTGCGCTGACTCAAAACATAGCAGAACGGTCATGACGAGTCGCACTGCAATGCTAGGTATGGAAGGCTCCTACCGCGAAGTCCTGAGTCGTCCTTCTCTAGACACTATGCCTATGCCGATCCCATAGTCTGGGCATGTCGTGTGAGTGCAGAATGCAGGCCTGGATCACACAGTCAGACGGGGGCCAACCTGCCGCCAACGAGCCTCGTCTGTGTTGGTCGTGCTGGGCCACCGGTGGCCACCTATGGCCCCGTCCAAGGATGCTCTTGGCCTCATCTTCCACAACACAAGAAGAGCAGGACTCCACGCAGGCCACGCAGGAGTCTGCCGCTCCGGCATGTTGTCATTTCGAGGCACGCTTTTGTGGAGGCTCTTGCCGAACATCCTGCACTTGCCAGGAGCCGTGTTTCGACGATTTGTGCGTGAATGAGGCGAGGGAGGGCGACGAAGGGCCCCAGCCTCAAGAGTGTCTGGCACCAGACGATCTTGAGCCAGACGACGGCCGCTCAGCGAGGACGGGAGAATATGTTTTTTGGGGCTGCGATTTCAAGCCCGCCTTGCCTTACGCCGCACCGACTTGTATTGCGGCGAAGTTGGCCCCTGTTGCGCCGTGGGCTGTGCATAAATGCAGGCGCTGGGCGTGTCTGTGGCCCGCAACTCAGAAGAATGACAACGGCAATGTTTGATCGCGAGCTACATTAGCACTGGACCTGTGGGTAAGGTGGCAGGGTCGATCTGCCTAGCGCTTGTCCAGATTCCACTGTTGTGCCGGTTGCAGTCATGGTCCCAGGCCGAGGCGGGATTTCACTGTAGGCTGTACATGGTGTGCACACCAATATGGAGTACGCTGGCGAGGCTCCTCTGACAGCTGTGGAAGTTGGGCTGGCTGCAGTCACCGTGGTGTTGATGGGGCAGCTCCGGCCTGGTTGGCACTTGGTTCTGTTCGTGGGCATCCCACGATTTTGCAGTCCAGGTACTGCTCTTTGGCAGACCCCGGGCAGATCAGGAAGATGCGGAACATCGCGCTGGACGGCATTGACTTGGAGCAGGTCTGGGCCAGTTTCGGAACTTCGTAGCTGCGCTTGAAAATACCGGTGACCAGGGCGACCGCCCATTCCGAGCTCACAAGTCCGGCACCGAGCCGCCGAGCAGGCTTTGAGCTGTTGGTTGGGCCGTCGGATTGTCGTTCTGCTTCCCTAGGTCCTGGCAGTACGGTCGGAAAATCCGACGCTATGACCATTACTGCCGCGGCAGCAGCAGTTGGTGATAGGAATGGTGGGTCGTCGTCCAGCCTTGCGGCTGTTGTGCGGTGCTGGAACAAGGTAAGTGGGTCAATAACGTCATCGGTTCCGTTCTCAGACGTGTCGAAAGCTTTGCCAGCCTACTTGTGAGAAAGCTGTTTGCAAACTTGTTTGGAGGTCTCCTTAACCACCGTGAATTCGTTCTCATGTTGGTTGGCCAGCAGCCAAGCTTAACGATGTTAACTCGATGTTGAACAAGTTCCGCCGATGCTCCGCACGCTCGCTGCACCACTTTCGACGGGCCTCTTTCGTTCGGTATTGATTTTTCGCAGACGTGATCTGACTGCAAGCCCTTATCAGGCCTGTGCCTGATTGGTTTGCCACTGCCTCAGCTCATCAAGCAACGGGTTGGCTTTGGGTGTGCGTTGGACTTTCTTCTGCCTTTTTGAGATTTGGGGTGCTCCTGGATGGCTATCTTGCGTTGCTCCTGGCAAAGAAGGCATCGGCATGCTTGAGTCTTCTGTGCTTGGTTCTGCACCCCTTCCTTCGCCTGTTGCGGACAGGGCCTTTGGGAAGCCGAGGTAGCAGTGGTGCTCTTGCCTTGGCTATCGCGTTGAGCTTGTTAAGGAGCTGCACGTGCAAGCGTGGGATTTCTGCATCCGAGATTGCACCTTGCATACTCCGTGATCCTGTTGGCCATTGAAGTGTCCTGAAGCTCAGTGGTGAGACTTGCAGATGTGGTGCAAGACGAGCAGCAGCATAGCCTTTTTGCTATTCAGGCCCATCTTCCAAATACACATCGGCCTGGTCCGCAGGATCGTGGGGGATGCAATCGAAAGCAGTGTGTACATGGACTTGTGATGACCTGAAGCCGACAGGAATGAACTGGCACAAGAGTGGAAGAACAATTTGAACTACGTGGCTTGGAGCTCATGCATCCAATTGGCATCGCCAGTCTGAGAATTGAGTCCGGAGGTTGCCGGTCAACTGTTCAGTGACAAAGCAAAGGCCAACCAGACCTCCATGGGAGACGGCGTACCGGTAGAGGAGCTGGATGACGAAGAGTGCCCCAAAATTCAGAGAAACGAGCAAATAGCCAGGCCACGTCTCCAAGAAGTCGAGATGTGATTCCGTTGCAGTAGCTCCCGTGCTGTCAGGTACAACCAGCTCTTCGATGAAAAAGCTTTTGTTTATGACAAGAACAGGAGCCACTCGCAACGATCCGGGTTCATGCTTTGGTTTCTGCAGCGTGCCATGCGAAGGAACCGCTGGGACAAAGGTTGGTACACAAATTGCTGGAACTTCTGGTGCTGGCCGCGCTGGCCAGCTGCCAGTGGCTGAGAAGGAGGGCGATGTCGAACCCCATGTTTGCAAGCTTTGATGTGTGAGGGCGAACTCGGCGAGTTCTGAATGTAACTTGCCCGCTGCCGGTGTTTCATTGTTTCTTTGTACTGGTATTTGCGACTGATTGATAGGGGGCAGGAAAGGGCTATGCCCGCTGGCCGTGGCTGAGAAGCAGATGTCGAAAACAATGTCTGCCAACTCTGACGTATTAGTTAAGGTGAGCGGAAGGAGTTTTGAACAACAGAAAGATGCTCGGCCGATGTGTCTCACAGTCCCCAGATCCCAAATAATGCTGGCCGCGCTTTCGCGGTAGCCAAGCTCAGCTCTTTTGCGTCCCAGCCGTCAAGGGCTGTGTGGGGTTGCAATGTCTCCCCAGCGGCCTAGGGGCGCGGAATGAGCGCCGACTGGCACGGAATGAGCGCCGACTGCTCTGACGTTAGCCGGCCCGGGCTTGGGCGATCTGTGGCCGACCGATGCAAAAAAGCCGCCAGGAAAAGTACATCGCTACGTGGCCCAGCTGTCTAACCTGCCACAGCTGAGAGGCAGAAGGCTAGCAGGCTGAAAGGGAGGCGTGGAGCATTCTTGTCGGCTCCCTCTTCAAGTGCAGGTCTCTCGACCGGCGCTGGGTCGGCTCAAGCATCACAAGCTACAAGAGATTGATGGATCGGACATGTGCAGACGCAGGTAAGTTATGTAGGCTGTGTATCTTGCTTGACCAACATGTGCCTGTGTTTTATACGTACTGTATTTTATACGTACTGTATTCAACAACTCAGTGTCAGGACGTTGGTGTCCTAGCATGTTCTTCAGAGACCACGCGACGTCTCACAGCACTTGGAGCATGACTATTCGCTGATTTCGTTGTGCAGAAAGAGCGGCACCATGCTCCAGCCAGCTGTCAAGCTGACATGAAACTTCGCTGCTCCTCTCACGGTGCCTACGCTGTTCAAACACATGACAGATCACGGGGTTTTCTCTCACCCATTGTCTCCATGCATGATTGAACCGACCCAAACTACGCAGGAACATGCCGAACGTTGGGCGCTCACGCTTATCCTGAATTCAACTCTGACCGCGGCCCTGAAAATCACGAGTGTTTTGGCTATATGCTCCAAGGTTGAAGAATGCTGGAAACTCAACCCCAAGACGCCTTCCGCTCAACCCCAGACACAGGGCGAGAACCTCGCATGTGTTGCCGAAACTGTCTTGAGGGGATGGGGTCAGATCTTGTGAGCCTTTGTGCTCCACCCCACATCCTCAACTCGACGCTGCAAGACTTATGAGGTCCCTGCCAGGCTGCGGCCGCTGCAGTGGAGGCTCCAGGAATCGCTTTGCATCAATCCACCGAGTGACTTTGAGCCTAATCTGTGCCTGCATCGTAGGTTTGTCCTAGCCAAGTGGGAGGCAAAAAATCGGTGCCTGCCTTGAGCGAGTTGGACGACGCGAGCTGTCCTTTTAGCAAGAGCTCTCTTCAACAACTTGGAGTTCAAGTCATGCCGATCGGCGTTTTTGTCGTCTGCTGTTGATGTTCTTGCAGAGCCTTTTTCAAAAGGGAGCGTTCGCGCCTGTTCATCGCTTTATGTGGGAATTGCGCAGCAGTAGCACACGGACCTCCACAGAAGGGATCATTACGTATCATTACAGTGTTCCTGCCGTAGATAAATCTGAGCAGGCCAGGCACGGAGGTATTATTTTGCAGCTCATGTTCAGCTGATATACGTGTCTAGTGACTCCACCAAAGTAATGTACATTTCGTGTGCTTGGATTTCACCCAAGGCCCCCAAATCCAAAAATCCAAACACGGTGGGATGAGGGTGTTAAAGACATCGACTTTGCAGCTTGCTCTAATCCCTGACAGGAAGAAGTCATAGGCAACGCGTAGGTTATTGTATTGCTCCTGCCTTCGCGGACGGTAGCGTTTGTTCAGGTAGGAGCATGTAGAGTTGTATCGAACACGGTGACCCTCGAACGGAATGTTGTTTCGGGTTTGTTTTGTTGTTTCGTAATTCTAATGCTACGCAGCCCGCCTCGGCCGCCGGCTGCAGTAGGGCCAGCAGGGGCGCAGAGCAGGGGCCAAACTGCGAAGGGCCTCTTAAAGCAGGTGTAATTTAGTTGCAGGGTCAGGGCTACTTGGAGAAGTGTGGCAAGTGTAGAGCAAACACATGCAGCAAAACCCACAGTGGAGCCGGGGGCAGGCCGAAAGAGAAGAAAAGGTGAAAGAAAACGAGCAGGCAGAAGACAAAAAACAAGGGGAAGCCGGAGGAGGAAGGGGGGGCCGGAGGAGGAAGGGTGGGGGGGAGGGGGGGGGGAAGAAAACAAGCCAAAAAGAAGTGCACGAAAAAGTCGCAATGGAAAAAACACGCGAGGGCAGGACAAGACGGAAGGGTGGGAAAAGGGGCCGGGGGAAGGCCCGGGGGGAGGGAGGCCGGGGAAGGGAGGGAGGGTCGGGGGGGGGGAAGCTTCAACGAGGAAGCAGGAGAGCCAAAGCACGCGAACGAACCATGAGAAGAAAAGACAGTGGAGCCGGCCCGGGGGGGGGCAGGCCGAAAAAGCCAAAGCACGCGAACGAAACATAAGAAGAAAAGGCAGTGGAGCCGGCACAGTGGGGGGCAGGCCGAAAGAGGAGAAAAGGTCGAAAAAACACGCGAGGGCAGGAGAACACGGAAGGGTGGACTGGCCAGCCGGAGGAGGAAGGGGGGGCCAGCAAGAGGGGGAGGGGGGGAAGGAAGGAAAACAAGCCAAAAGAAGTGCAGACAAGACGGAAGGGTGGGAAAAGGGGCCGGAACAAAACAGCAAAACGAGAGCTTCAACGAGGAAGCAGGAAAGAAGCACGCAAGCGAAACATAAGAAGAAAAGACAGTGGAGCCGGGGGCAGGCCGAAAGAGAAGAAAAGGTGAAAGAAAACGAGCAGGAAATCGAAAAAACACGCGAGGGCAGGACAAGACGGAAGGGTGGGGAACCAAAAAAGGAAAACGAGCGAGGAGGGCAGAGGGGAGGACGGGCCGGAGGCGGAGAAGTTTGCGTTTGGGCTGTAGGGAGAAGGATTAGGTAGAGGGTTGGTTAGTATTAACCATCAAGACGCCAGAGGCCTTTGGCCTCGGCGGATTATTTCTTCGAACAGGTCTTTGCTCAGCTTGACTTGATACAACCAGCCCAGTTCCCGCTTCCGCAGCTGCAGGAGCAAAGCTGCCGCCCGGGCTTCGCCTTGCAGCCCTACCGCACCAGGCCTTCACGTTGTTTGATGACGGGAATGCAAGGCGAGATACCGGGTTCGGACATTGCCTACACCAGGCAGGTCCCGGTTTTTGCGAACAGGACGACAGAATCCAGTTGCCTTCTGCATCATATTGACTTGGTGCCGCACATGCTGCAACTCGGGTGAGTAGCTTAATCAAATATATACGATTTTTGGAACCTTCAATGTCTATGTGCAGCGATTTGACCATAAACTCCTGTTTGAAGGATTGTTGATTCCATCTTCTTGACCCAAGTCATACAACGTTGTAACTGCCATCCATGTAGTAAGCCGTTCGAGCGAAGCTCATCCCCAACAGTTTTTCATATGGTCAGGTTTGCTGCAGCACATAAAAACGGGAGTGAGACGGTGGCGACAATAGCACAACAGCAGAGAGCCCGACAGAGCAGCAACCAGACTCGCAAGACACGGGATGACCGCCTGCGTCCACACACCAGCAGAGTCGCTGCCGGTCGCTGCGTTGTCAATATCATGAGCTTCCCAACTGTGCCCAGAAGTCACAGTCGCTGCAGGCTCTCTTTTCAGAGATGCAGGGGAGTGGTTTTGGACCTTTGAGCCTATAATGTTCCAATATGACTATCGGCCTAGCAGTGAATTTCCAAACTCGCTGCAAGGATCGTTCGTAGTGCTGAATGGCACTGAAACTCTGTGCTTACTTGTGATCAGGCACACAATGCGCCACAAGTCATGCTTCCTCTTGACTTGAAGCAGCCAACTGAGCATAACCATTGAAATGACAATGAGCTGGCCAAGGCTCATGTTTCGGGTTCCTGCACATGCAACTACACTTTGTGCATAAACGAGGCACTCTGACAGCTGCAGTGAGCATGTGCTACCTGCAGTCAAGCATCCGTGCAGCATGTGCAGCTTAGTCAAGACGGAATACAAAGATCGTCGATGAAAAGAAGTCTAAGCTTGCCTTCGCGATCTTGTCTGGCAGGCTACGGACGAAGCGCTGCGAGAAATTCGCGCCGCCTCTGCAAGCAGCGGTCTTCGCGTGCTGGAGCTGGGTGTTGGCCGGGCACTGCAGGGCCGATCCAGCGGTGTTGTGTATGGACGGGTGCGTATGTGCGTGTTTGTGTATGTGTGTATGTGTGTGATTACGCACGTGTGTGATGTATGATTACATGTATGTATGTATGTATGTACGTATGTATGTATGTATGTGTATACATAGCTAGACAAGTGGGTAAGTAGGTAGACAGATGGATAGGTAGGTCGGTAGACGGGTATTACACAGAAAGTGTTGTAGATGGACACATAGACAGATGGATAGATCGACAGATAGATAGGTAGATTGATGGACAGATAGACAGACAGGTGGATAAATGAACAGATAAGTAGATAGCCAAGCTGACAGATAGATAGATCTATTCATGATGAGAATATCGCTAGATAGGTTCACAGGTAGACAGCTAAAAAGGAATGCACACACACACATGAGATTCTTTATTTCTATATATATATATATATATCTATATATATATATATTTACACACATATCCTTATATATATATATATACATATGTATATACAGATCTTAGTGAGGCCCCAGTGCGTTGCACTGTGTTGGTTCAATGCACTCACATTGTCTCCTGCTTGTGCTGAAGAAGAAAGACAGGGGCTGAGGTCGAGAGACGGCACATCTGGGGGAGGGGGCCCATAGGATGCACTGTGCAAGCTCCATGGATCAGTTTTCGCATTGCAGGCTTCGCTTCTCTTCGTGCGCTGCTGAAATTGCGACGCCACCATGTAACTCGGGCCCGGAAAGCCAGGGCCCTGGATTGAAATTGTGTTGCCTCTTACCCGTGTTCCCTGGATGTTGATTCGTTCATTTTTTATTTACACTTTTTTATGTTAGATCCAGTGCAGATGTTGTCTTTCGATCCATTGCTTTTCTTGATCCGGTAGCCGGGTGCTGCAGCCCTGCAGGTTTGGAAATCTTGGACGCAGCAAAGATTTGGAGCCGAAGTTCGCTTGCTTACCGAGCTGCTAAGCTCAAATCAATATGCTGAGCGTCCTTGTGCAAAGAGCGCGAAAAACTCGTTGTCAGGTTTCCAGCCTGCCACAAGCTGATTACGACGGCGTCCAACCTCATGGGTGTGCCACATGGCCAGCTTGTTTTCGTGACATTCCACGCCCAGCCTGTCGAACATCCTATCAACGAGCTCGGGCTTAGGCTTAAACAGTCAGCAGACCTGGCAAGGACTCCTGTCCGGCATGAGTCATTAATTCAGTATGGCGAGTACCAAGAGCGAATTCGCACGCAGCATGACTGCAGTACTAAGAAACACCTCGAGGACCAAAGCCAGACACACGCAACGTGGCGGTACGGTTGATGATAGAAATCCTGCATTACCCTAAGGACCCTAAACTATGGGAATTATGGTATATTCCTTTCTATGGGTCATGCAGGATTTGTATCATCAACCGTATGACCAAACAGACAATCCAACGTGCCGATCACCTCGGAGAGGTGCGACCGTCCTATGCAAGCACAGATTCAGTAGAAGAGGTTGGGTCCTCTTTCCTCTCCACGGGCTCGGCACAGGGCTAGCCCCGGTGGCGACCCCAGAAGAGACGACCGAGTGGTTAACTGGGAGATGGTGCCCAAGGTCGGAACCACCGGGCGAGCTCAATGTCATCCTGAGAACCTACGAGCCAGGCAAGCAAGACCGCGGCATAGACTACTTCGAAAGCCCCGTTCTTCTGAGCAGCGTGGGTGGTGACGAGGTGATTGGCTTGGGCGGCATGTGGACGATGTGTCCTGGCCGCACTTAGCCATGGTTCTCCTGCAGAAGTGCAACTTGTTTTGGGCTGATGGTTTGAAGTGGACTGGGTCTCGTAAGAGCGGTTCTGGTTGTGCCAGGAATGTCGAATGAAAAGTCAAGGTCCGTATGTTTGCAGAGCCCGTTCTTGCAGCGATCTTGGAGCCAGGAGGTGTCAGGCCCGGTGCAGTGACATGTCAATACTTTGATTCCAGTACCTAGGTTTGCGCAGGGGCAACATTTGCATTACACGTTCGAAGTACGTCGCCATGGCAGTTCTGCGCGTCAGGGATGGTCTTCGCTTCACCTTGCCCCGAGACCCTGTGGCTCTCTCCGCAGCCCTTCGCGAAGCAGAGGAGCCGCAGACGATCGCAATTGAATTTCCAAGCCTTGTTAAGCGTAGTTTGCCAAGAAAGGCCTGCAACATCCGGCAGCAAGTGATGCAAAAGAGTACTGTATCTGACGTGCCAGCTGCCTGCCCGATAGGCTCAAGACTTAAGACGACAATGAATGATTTCGAACGGGCTCGTGCAGACAAAGCAGTTAACTGATCTTTTCTCCTTGTTGCATGCTCGCAGGCAGTACGGGTCGAGCAAATATGTTACACGCCGAGACCGCACTCGTTGCTTGCTTCCGTTGCTTGAATTGAGACTCCTGGCGCAAGCAAACTTGATCAGCAAGGACGCTCATAGAGCCTCTCTTCGTCTTCACGATCTCACAGCGTGCTCTAACCTAAGTGGCTGGGTGCTGCTGGAGTCGGTTATTACTGATGTTTCATGTAGACCGTGAAGCCTGCAGAGCTTCATGGAGCCTAACTTCAGCTTACTCGTATCGCTGCTAGCTAGCAGAAGACGAGAGACATGACGCAATGTTGTAGCTGCTACCAGAGAGCCAGGAGGTCTTGATTTTGAATTCACACCCATTCTTGGCTCAAGCGCTGCTGTGTGATCTGCAGAGCCCTGGCCCCACAGTTTTGGCGACTGTCGAGAGGGACATTCGGAAGCACCATGCAAGCAGCCTGCACTTAACGGGCCTTCACGATGCATTGCCGCTGCAAAGCAGGTTGCCGCACGTCGATTGGTTTCTCTCAGCTGCACCCAGGATGAGGATACAAATAGCGGCCACGCAAATGGCTGTGAGATCGCTGAAACTCAGACACTTGATCAAAGGCTTCGTAGTGCTGAGCCTCTCTAAAGCCACTCTGACTGCATGGGGCTGCGAGTCCCGATGCCAAATCTTGAGTTAAGGATGCTTCGACTCTGGCGCTGCCTTGGTTAGCAGCAAGGCAAGGGAGCCAGACATTTCGTCCTCGATAAATGTTGCACAAACCATTGTCGGCTCTGAGCTTGCAAGGCTTCTCGTGCTTTGGCTGCGGGCGCCGGCGCCGGCGCTGTGGGTCTGGCACTGTGCGTGCCCCCTGCTCGTGCAGATGGGGCGTCCGCAGATGTGCCGGCATTTACCATGGAAGCCCCGAAGTACGACCAGCCGCATGGCTAAAGTTGGAGCAGCAGGCACAACATTGCACACCGGCCGGGAGTAGCACAAGAAGAAGCATACGCCTGGCTCGCCGTAATGACGCACAGTGAGAGAAAGACAGAGACGGCATGTGATGTGTTTGCGACGTGAGAGGTCCACCTTCTATGGTCGACTGCAACTTCGATGCAAGCAAATACTCGTTGTGAGAGTAACATCGCGACCTGTTGCATGTTTCTGCCGTCAGTGGTGGTCTTATTCTTAGTCTCAAACGATACACAGGATGGGCATGTATGACTACATTGACCCTCGGACGCTTCTCTTGACCAGCGACGACCTGAAAAAGTCACAGGCCCATTTCCATGCATGCTTGGATAGATTTATGAGACACAGCGAGAGGACCTTCTGCAGAAGTACAAGGAAGCAGGAAAGAAGCCGGAAGGCTCGCACCCTTTTGCAGTTGACGGACAGCAAGCCAATAGCATGAGCTTCTTTGCTTCTTGTCTGTGCAGGTGTGTCGGATGCGGATATGTGGCAGGCAAGGAAAAATGTCGAGGTTCCTCGGCCAACAGCCACTTTCGCTTGTGCCACTCGAGCTTATGGTGAGTATGTATTTAATGTATCAATGCTCGATGCCGAACTTGCAAGGTTAGCATTCACCCAGTCACTGGCGAGGAACTATTGAAGGTCGGACGAATGCCCCTTGAACTTTACAGGGATTGGACCCATTTCCAGCAAGTTCTCAGCAGTTCGAGTTCCAGACTAGATTCTTCCAGGTCTGCTTTCGTTCCGATGAACGTGCCGCTTTGCGCTTTCATGCTGATGGCATCCTCAACCCCACAAATCCTTGCTGCCCAGTGGCCGGTACCTCAGTATCCTGTGTGGGAGCCTGTGATACACGATGTCACGTCCAGCACTTTATCTCTGGAATCAAGGCTCAACCAGACGTATAACGCCCTCAACAACTATGTCAACAGGTCAGGTGCAACTGCTCCTTGACTCACGATCAGCAATGCCGACAAAGATTCTAGACCCCTGTGGACGAAACAGTCGGCATCAAACGGTTCCATTCCCGTGTGCACCTAGCATGGGGCTGCGAGGCTTTTGTCAGATCTTGACTGGGTACGTGTTGCAAGGACAGTGCACCTGCTGCAGGGCGTCTGATGACTTATAGGGTTACTTATATAGGTAATAGCTGTATCTATACAAGACCCGATCAGCCTCATTTTTGCTCAGAGTCTCTCAGGTGGAGTGGTCCGCGCTCCTGCAAAGCTATGGCCTGGCTGTGACTGCATCTTGCTCGATCGCCTTGGGCGCAAGACTGGCTGCAGGGAGTAGCACGCGGTGTCTGAAAGCATTTCATTGCCTTCACTGATCACATGAGGCAAGAAGAGGTCAAGTGGTCAGATGTAGAAAAATCGAAGCCACTAAAACCAGGCATCAGCTCCGCCCAAACAAAGTTCTCCCGGGCTCCAGGACGATTGATGAGTGCTGTGCCATCTTTGCAGGTCATGGGCCCTTTCGAGCCTTGGCTGTGGCAAGAGAGCTCCGGGGACCGTTTGCAGAGCAATGAGATGCCTCGCCGACCCTGCTAGATACCAAAGCAGGTTCGTTGTAGTGCTACCATGTGATGTGCACAGCAAGGTTCCCTACCTAGCCGTGATCTCAGCTGGCACTGCGAATGCATCTTGGCCGTCGTCATGCTGAGGGTCCATTACATAGAAGCAAGCCAGCCTCGGCACCCCATGCTGTTATGCGGCACAGCCACTCCTTTGAGAGAGTTTGTGGCGGTCGGGTACTGGTCGAAAATGCGGGCTTGCTCTGCATCAGAGAATCGGGGTTCAAGTTCAGTACATATCATCTGTCGAGTTTCAAGAGGTTTCAGCTCAGGTGTCCTTCACACGGCTCGAGGAGTGGTACGGCAAGGGAGTCGGGCTCTCAGCTGACTTGTGCGACCTTCTTCTTACGCAGGCATTGGAAAGCCGTCTAGTAGAGCTTCACAGCGATTACAGTTCGTTTCCGACACGTGCGCTCGGACCTCCCTCTCCGCTGTCCCTAATCCCCCGTCTCTATGCTCATAAACACGCAGGTGACCGAAGGTGCATACATGCATGCATACATACGCGGATGCGTGCTTGTATGCGTTTTTGACGGATTGCATGTATCTGTATCTCTCTAGCAAGCCTTAGAGTGTACTGTTAAAGTACCCTTGAAGTACCGCTAGCACTATTCGTCGGTCGTCCGTGACATCCCCTGTGTTCTCCCATCTCTCCCAGAACTTCTGGGCTCTCCGGTCTTGAGCTGGGGACTTATGGCTGATGTGTTAAGTACTCGGTGGGCAACATAGGTGCCACAGGCCGTTCGGCTTCCACGAGAGTTTCGTCATGGTCCTTCCAAGCGAGGTTGTGAGATCCTCCTCGCAGCTTTTTGGGTTTTTCTGCTGTCGCCTGTCGCTGCCGTCTGACCCAGGTTTCCATCGTGGACGACGAGGGAAAGGAGCTAGGAATGTCTAGAGCTGCTGGTCAGATGGGCGGCTAGGCTACTGTGCCGGTGCACATCCGCTTCCGGTTTTGCCTCAGGGGGGTGGCAATGAGATGTGGGACGCTTTCGCCCAAGGTGTCTTGCAGACCGTGCTTTCGCGATCTTGCTTCCTGCCGCATGGCTGAGCCAGAGCCGGTTCCTTCGTGAAGTGAGCTAGAGAATCTCCTTTACATTAGTTTTGCAACCGAAGCATGTCTTAACCTTTACCTTCCAAACATGTCCAGCAGCCTTTTCTTCAATCATGGGTCATGGAAAGACCAAGACGTCAGGCCTATTGCTCCGATGGTCATGCCCATCATCGGCATGAAGGCTATTGGAAGCGTTGCGCCGGTGCTGACAGCGGGTGCCATGGGCGTTGTGACGGAGATATTGCTGCTCAGTTGCATGTGTTGCGTTAGGCATGGCAGCACTGGCCGATAAGTACCGGCTTTGTTCGATCCATTGCCCGAACGAGTCACCTAAATGAACTCCCAGTCGTTTTCACACTGTCAAGGCTAATCACCGGCTGCATCTCTGGGATGCTACCAGTTGCCCTGGCGCTCCTTCCGTGGCCTGGCTTGACGATGTACGAGTGCTCCGGTGTACTTAATCGCCGCATCTCATACGAAGTCCTTGAAGACGGCTCCGTCTAGGCAGAAGATGGAGATTGCTGTCAGCAAGCTCGAGCCGGACTATCAGAATCTCAAGGCGGCATGCGAATGTATGGCAGCTAGTACTGTGTTCATGATACTGTATCGGTATTCTGCAGCAGGACTCCAACGGGCAACCCATCACAAAAGTCGCGAGCCCAGTTGGCTAAGCGGCTGCTGCGTTTCCTTTATGACTCCACGCCAGTTTCAGAAGAATCCCCTTGCCGCTCCTTCATGTCGAGCCCAGGTTTTCGCGAACAAGGGCCTTTGAGAAGTGCCACAACGCATCAACAGCCATGGCGTCTAACCCTGCGTACGCTTGATTTTCCCATGAGCCTTGGTCTCTGCATTGCAACCCTAGCCCGCCGTAAACAACAAAGGTGCCTTTCCTCGATCTGTCCGAGACTCTGAGAGTTCAGAGTCCAAACCGTAGGCCTTCAGCCTCAAGTCTGCGCGGAAAGCTGAGGAGCGTGGCATTGAACGCTTTCACTGCGCTGAATCCAGACGCAGCCAATCCTGCATGACAGAATTCATGATTATCAGCCTCTTGTTGTCTAGGGGTTAGAATATGGTGGTTTTGGCTTCCCTAAAATGCAGGCCTAGAGACCCCAGATCTGTTATACATGGCCGAGGATTCTCTGGAGACATGACTCCAAGAATGAGTGGACATTCCCGAAACCCCGTCAAAGCCGAGTTTGTGCTTTTTCCAGGTGTAGCGGCTACAGAGGCCATAGGATTCCGGCATGTTCCGGCTTAGCCGAGTCGCCTTTCTTCTACAATCTGCTTCAGTTGCCATTGGGCACAGAAGAGCTTGAACAAGCCAAAGTGACTTCTATGTGGCGAGAAACAGCAGTCACGGAAAGTTGAAGAATTGCTGCACATATGGAAGCATGACCTCTGCGGCGAAGCTCCTGGTCTTGCAAAGTTCGTGCGGCACTGGTGGCGCTGCCCTCAAGTTGGCCTCAAGTTAGAAAGCCACCGAACCCTTCCATGGCAAGAGGACGTATGCCAGCAGCCACCTCAGAAAGAGAGTGTCCAATAACCGACAAGCACCGATGGAAGGCCAACAAAGCTTGTTTTC